GGTTAAGATGCCACCGTGTGGACTATTGGCTATGCTTGTGCATCAGTATACCTAGCAAAGAGCCAGGAACAAGCATTTGCTACGTTTGTCTTTTCTGTCATTCAGAATCGGTGACAGGACGGGGGGTTTCCATGCAAAAATCCTTATTTTTAATCAATATGCCAGGATGACTTGTCTGAGAGACAACTTCTCCTTGGTGCTCTCAGCCCTAAGATTTATAGCGTGGTAGTACAGCATCTAGGGATCCCTCAGTGTCCAGTGAAGCCCCTGCTATCAATGGAAAAATCTTCTGGGGTCAAATGTGCAGCTTATTATCCATTTTCTTTTTGCTGCCTCTCAAAACCTTTCACTCCACAGCATTATTCTTTCAGAGGGCAGAAATTCCTGTCCCTTTCAGGGGGCCCCTGCTGCTTGGTAAACATTCAGATGAAGAAACAGCCTTTTTGTCGCAATCGCTCTTTCCGATGCTCTGGGAAGCTTGTTTATTTATCTTCCTTTTCTGAAGAGCGAGGGACGGTAATTAGAGACCAGGGGCACTTGGCTGTAGGGGAATGACCTGCCTTCATTGAAAATATTGCACTTAAAAATCTCCCCCCTTCCTATGACTTCTCCTTTCTTTTCAGACCATTGCAAATTGCAGGAACAGTGGAGGAAGGTTCCAGTGGCAGGGTGTGTGTCTGAGGGGGGCTTCCCCCTGCACTCTTTGGAAAGGGTATTTACATAGGCCAGAGGGACCTGTAATATTTTCACTGGGACCATTTGGGATTGCCCCTTGCCTTGCAAACCTGATTAGCCTAATGAAAAAACACTCGGCGCACGGGGAGGGCAGGCACTCAGGAGCAGCAACACACCACACCCGGTATTCCTATGGCATGTGTTCTGGGGGCAGAGTATGGGGGGGATGAGGCTGGTGGTTTGGGAAGGCAGTGCCTTCCGCTGCCTATTATACCCGCCATCCCGCAAATGTCCAAAGCCAGAGGCCTCCTGGCGAGGGTTGCCAAGTGTCCAGTTTTTGAACTTTCTGTCCAGGAAACAAATTGAGAAAATACCAGACGTAGAAATGTCCGGTCTTCTCTAATTAAGGAAGTTTTATTATTATCTTGAGTATCAGGACGTCCTTGCGTACTGCCTGGCTGGGTGGGGCGGGGCCGGGGTGCGATGGAATCCCTGGGGCTAGACTTGCCCGTGTGGCCAGGACTGTGCGTGGGACGGGAAGCGCCCCGGGATCTGCATGTGCCCGGGCCAGCTTTGCTCCCCTCAACCTCTTCCTGGCCAGCCCTGCTTCCCGCTGGCCAGTTCTCCACCCCGATCTCCCCCGGCCAGCCCCAGTTCCCTCCAACCTC